CCTGGCACGGGAGCAGCAGTTGAAGCCAGTGCCGTTTCCAGCTGGGCTAAGGAAACGCCGCATCCTGCCCTGTGCGCTGCGGGAGCGGCGCGGGGGCATGAGTTTAGTCCAGAGCAAAGCGAGGCGTACAGAGTGGGCCTTGAAAACTGGCGGCGCCTTGCACCCTGCTCACTGTCGTGCAGTGTCCCGTCTGAACAGCGTGGAAAATACTTAAAGCGCCCCCGGCCAACAGGGCGCTGCGAAAGTAATTTCCTTGCTGCCTGTGAAGCGTTTGCATGATAAGCGAGTTCGGGAGCTAATGCTCGTTTCAGAGTGTAGCTCAACTGGAGCCCTACAGCAAACAGTGAGAAGATGATGGAATAGATATGCAGTACTAGCAAAGTGTCCCGGGCATATAGCAAAACAGGAGTCTTGTAAAAAAGAAAACATGCCGGTAACTGGCATCTTATCGAAGACTCTGGTTAACATGCATGTATTAAGTGAGGCTGCACCTTTTTTTTCTTGCTTTTCCCGGTTTCTAACAGTCTGGACGTGCAGGCATCATGATAGAGCACACTGTGCAGCTTTGAGATGTACCAAGCAAACAGCCATAATGGTTTTGGTGCCTTTGAGTGTATCAGCAGAGTTCGGACCTTTCAGTCTGTCGCTTCAGCTGGTGAAGCCACTGACAATACAGCAGCAGTGTGAGAGAGAAATCATCCTTGACAACAGGAATCACAGTTACTGTTGGCGGCTTTTGAAGGGGCTATGTATTTTTATGGTCTGACTTTTCTTGTTGAAGTCCCCTGTTTTTTCCTTTTTTCGCAGCTGTTAGGAAAAGAGAACTAACTCTGTCCCAACTGAAACCAGGGCACCCACCTTTTGTATTTTGGGGAATGTTGCTGCCAAATGTCAGTCCTTGTTACTCTGTCCTACACGGTCTTGTTCTTTCTTAGATACATGTTTTTCCCTTCCCGAATGTTTCTTGCCCCTACCCATTACTTTTATAAAGTCTGTTCTGTTGCAGTACTTTCCCCACTGTTTTGAAGTGGATGTCGTTGGAGGTTGCTGGACAGATAAGCATGCTCTTGTCACTTTTGTTGGTGATGAGAACAGGAGTAGTGTTGCTAAAAGTAAAGTCTGGATTTGACCAACTGCCAGTAGACTGGATGTTCTTTGGCAGTGTGTTTCAAGAGCTAAGACAAGGCTCAAGCAAGCTCTGTGGGAAGGAATCCTAGGGCAACTTCAAAGCTCTGACAAATCTTTACCATGTATATGTAAAACTCGCCCAGTCAGGATGTGTGATGTAACTGAATGCGAGTGTCTTTCATGTAATTGGTAAAAAGCACACCCCTGTCAAATTTGAGGTCTTACTTCAAAAATGAGCCATTGTTTCATTGTAGAAAATCTTATGTTTGTTTCTTCTTCCAACCAGGTAGGCGTTTCTGTGTGAAAATCCCAAGTAGATGCAGACATCCAGGGAGAGACATCTAGAGATCCGTGCATTCAAAAAGTTATTTGTGTTTTGTATCCTGTCATCACATTTTTTTAAAAAAACTGTGAAAATACTGCTTGCCAATTGAGTAGTTTTAAACCTTCCTGTTTACGGAGCGGCTACTGCTTGTATCTCTTGTTATTTCGGTTGTATTGTTAACATTAGCATTTTAATAACTTCATACCTATATAAACAGGTGTGAGTTTAAATAATACTTTGTGAACTGAAGTACAGATATTCACATACTAAAATATTTCAGTGATTTCTACACATATATAAAAGGGACGTGCCTTTAGATATAAGTCCCTTCCTCCTTCAGCATACCTCTATCTTAAAAACAAAAAGTTTGGAGCGAGGATTATGTGTAAAACTACTAGCCTAAGAGTCATCAGAACACCAAGTAATGGGTACCTAAGCTACTGATTAATCTTTCTGTAGAGGTAGTATAGCTAATGTACAGAGCAATAGGCTGTATTGACAATAATCAAAGCCTGAAAAAAAATCTTGAGACAGTAGTGAGGGTTTGGGTTTTTTTATCCACATCTGCTGTTTTTGGGATGAAATGCTGTGGCTAACTGTGCAGGAGGGAGGCAGCAGATCTCTCCCTCATCCTCCCGAACATTGCTCTGTTCACAAGCACACCTGAAGAAGAGCCAGGTTGAAATACCTGTTCTACTGGTTGAACACCATTCCTGCAGCCTGAAGCAGCTTGAGCTAGTAGAGTAGTTACACTTTTTTGGCCATACAGAAAGGAACCCTCTTACTGCATGTTAGCAATCTCAGCCGGCCGAATCAATTCTGTGGAAGACTTGTGGATACAGCGAATCATAGAATGCTTAGGGTTGGAAAGGGACCTTAAAGATCATCTAGTTCCAACCCCCCTGCCATGGGCAGAGAAATATGGTTGATTTGTTTCAGTGTCATCTACCGTGGCCTTTACTGTTGTACAATTATTTATAACTAACTAAAATTACTCTCGTAAATGATTTGAAAATATATTTTTCAAATATATTTCAAATATACGTTCAAAGTCAACATCATATATTTTGAACTTAAAAGTATTTTGAATGTCTTCCATAAGAAAGTAATTTTTCAGACTTGCTTTGAAAGATTTTCAAATCAATGCATTGTATTTTAAAACATTTGCTAAAGCAAGAAAATTTTGCAGTGCCACTTGACAAATCATACTTCTTGGAAGAAATGTATAAACGTCTGTTTTGTTGAAAGACAGTTTCTTGTTTTTTTGATTTCAGGTGATCACTGGAGGTCATTATGATGTTGACTGTCGGTTGGAAGATCCTGATGGCATTGTGTTGTACAAGGAGATGAAGAAACAATATGATAGCTTCACGTTTACTGCATCCAGAAACGGAACATACAAATTCTGCTTCAGCAATGAATTCTCTACTTTCACACACAAAACTGTGTACTTTGATTTCCAGGTTGGAGAAGATCCACCACTGTTTCCTAGTGAGAATAGAGTAACTGCACTTACCCAGGTAAAATGCTGTTGTGTTTGACAGCAACTGTTAGGTGGAGGAAGCAATATTTTTTTCAAGTTCAGCAGCATTAGATGTCTGTATCACTTTTGAAAATCAGTGGATTGGAGCTTTTAAAATAATCTAAATTATTTTGAATAAACTTTCTTTCTGAAGGTAGTATTTATAGAACACAGAGCAGGACTGAGAAGGAATCACCAAGTGCTTACAGTGTGGTAACTTAGACCTTAAACGCTAAGCGCTGAGAAGGAATCACCAAGTGCTTAGGAGAAAACCAGTGTGGTAACTTAGACCTTAAACGCTAAGCCACTGTTGTTTTTCATTTTTTTTTAAGGGAACTTCTTTTTAATGCCATGGTTCTGTGTCTCTTGAAGTGTGGATCTCACAAACTGTCGATATTAGTGGATCAGAGTTTTCAAAATTTCCAAACTTTAGCTTGATAATAATTTTTATATTTAAAATGGTAGAGTATTTTTTCAGGGAGCACTTAAGTTGACTTTTTATGTAACTGCCATTTTAAATTGGAGAAGTTCTAGCAAAATAAACAAATGAACTGTAACTGGCATTTTAAAATGGAGAAGAAGATTCTAGTAAAATAAACAAATGAACAAAGTCAGCCATCTTTAGCTGACTTCTAGATATTTGTCCTTTCTAAGATATATGCCCTTTATAAGATATACAAAGTGTTAGAGCATTATTATCGTATATTCAGGATTTTATAGTTTTGTACTACCTCTACCAGATTTAAATTCATCAGAACTTCCCTAGGAACGGAATACTTTGTCCATGAATTCCCACTAATATTCTTAACATTATAACAATAACCAAACCTTGCTTTAAACAACCATTGAAGAATGCTGTTGCTATTTTGCTAGTCTGGACTCAACAGTATAAATACTGCTTCCCAAAGACCAATCTCACTTGAATTTACCTCACATAAGTCTGCAGTAACTGAGATCTGTAATGAGTAGAGGACTTGCTGATCAGCCATCTACAACACTTGCCTCTTTCTCCTTGTCACTCCTCTGCTCTGCATTATTTTGCATTATGATTCTTGATCATGTATTTTTCCATCTCATGTCCTTACTTTAGTTTTCATTCTGTTCAGTCTGTGTTCTGCTATGCCTGGTTTTTCTTTTGCTGTCTTGACATCAGCAGAGGGATTTTGAGAACACAGAACATGCAATTCCTGGCTCTGTCCTCTCTACAGCCCCTTGCAGTCTGTGGGAGAAGATACATAAAAAAATAGTTTATCACTCAGTTGTAGCATACACAATGCAAATAAAGTGTTTGGGAAAAGGAAAGTTAATTTTCAGAGTACAACACATCTTTGGTAAGACAATTCTTGCGATTTTCTTGAGGCTTGCAGTATGACCAAATTTGGGCAGCCTTTCACAGGGGCGGTAAAAGGTAAATCCCTAAAACCAGAGTGACTTTGTGTTTAGATCCTTTGTGTAGACTAAGAGAGCTCTATAATTTATCAGTGAGACCAATGGCAGAACTTAGTTTGGAAAACCTCTTCTTGAATTTCTTTTGTTGAGAAGAATATCTTAGACTTGTTCAGACACCTGTCTTGAAAGTCCTCAACTGGAAAAGATGGTTAGACACACATAAAAGTAACTGAAAGTGATCCTATCGGAGTGTTAAACATTTCCTTTTATAATAGGTTGTGCTGTTTGGACTTCAGGAAAGACTGATCTTAAGCCATAAAACAGTAAAACAAACTATGACTAGAAATAAAGTATTTTGAAGATCTTGGTGATCAAAACACAGTGAGGTGTGTGATGACTTTTACTCGTAGAAGATAAACTGAAAGTGGAAGAAGTTTGTGTAAAATGATCTAGGTCTTGGAAAACATACTTTTTTTAAAACGAAAAATTACAATGAAGTTGGGCAATTTGTTAAGTCTTGCTTATGTGATTATGTTATGGAGCATTCGGAAACACTGAAAGGTAACAGAATTATCCTTTCTTTAACCACTTTTTGCATACATGACTAAGAGAAGGGTCTCTTGTCAAAAGAACATGTTGAGTTCAGTAATGTAGATTTTTAGGATGTTTTACAGCTTGAGTGAGAATTATGCAATGAAGAACGTCATGCTTGTGAAATACAAGCATTTAATATATACTATGTGCATCTTAATGTTACAAATATTTTGTTGGCGTGCGTGGAATTAATAAGTGGGAGATCACTGACAATTCAAGTGTTTCTAATGTTCGTTTTGAACCCAAATATACATCAGTTTAAGATCTGTTTAGCTGTTCTCAGAGCCCGTTGCTTTTTATTAGATCTACAGTTTTACATGCTTCTGTATTTAATGTCTGTCACATTCCAGTGTGTAGAGTTTGATCAATGTAAGTTAAATTTTACTGCATTTACAGTATTTCAGTCTAACAATGGACTGAGTTGATCCTTAGTTTGCGAAGTTACACAAACCCTGATTTTAAATATCAAACCACAAAACTTTGCAGAAAAAGTACTAGAAGAGTTCTTCATTAAGTGATGTCTGTTTGTTTGCTTCTCTAGATGGAGTCTGCGTGTGTTTCAATTCATGAAGCTTTGAAGTCTGTCATTGATTATCAGACTCACTTCCGCCTGAGGGAGGCACAGGGCCGCAGCAGAGCAGAGGATTTGAACACAAGAGTGGCCTACTGGTCAATAGGGGAAGCAATCATTCTTCTCGTTGTTAGTATCGGGCAGGTATTTCTCCTGAAAAGCTTCTTCTCGGATAAAAGAACCACAACAACTCGTGTTGGATCATAAATGGTAGTAGTAATGCTTCAGGTCATTGTGTGCTACTCATCTGTAAAAATTACTGTTCTCCCATTAATTGCAGGTACAAAGGATCTGAATATATGCAACATTCAAATGTGTCTACCCCATGTCCCTTAAAAATCACAAACCAGACCCAAAATGTTATGAAAGGAACAAATGATTTGAAATATTTGAAAAATATTTTGGAACTTAAATTTTTTCTCATTCCTGCATTAAATATCTGACAGTGACCAGCCTCTCTTCATTTCTACTGGTTTTACCAAACTGAGTTTGATTTTTACCAGTAAGTTCGGCCATCTGCAGTATAACACTTTAAAATAACTCATCAGTCTAGTGTCTGATACAAGAGCCAACAAATATGAAAACTTTATTTGATTTTAATTTTCAGGCTCAATGTATTGGATTATGAAAAGGCAAATGTGATGAACTGTAGTGCACTGTTTTGATTTGCTGTTTAAAAAAAAAATCCAGTGTTTATTTGTAAAATTGTTGCAAGCTCCATCATACTGCAAATTCTCCGTGAGCCTGGTAAGTCTCCACCTTCAAAATTTGCTAAATTTTATACTTGAGTATGTTTGCGTAAACATGCATACTTCTATATTAAAGTAAATGCTTTTCCTCTTTTACAATGCCTGTTTTATTGAAACAAATGGTAAGCTGAGACTACTCAGGAAATCTACCTTCTGTATTCAAAAATCCAAACCTCCAAGTTTATTTAAAAAAGCATGCAATAAAATAGGAAATCTTGTAAAGTTGTCACTGAAACTGTACGGTTTTTGTATTCATGCTGCTGCTGCTTTTTGGATCGAAGACCAGAAGTAGCTTGGTTTGTTAAGCAGCACGATACCAGCACTGGATGAGGTTATATTACGTGTTAGGCACATACAAAGCTTTTTACTAAATTGTTTTCCTATTAAGAGGCCAATTTGACATGGATACTGCATTGCACGAGTGCTGTAAATTTTACTTTTCTGTGTGTGGTGCACTGATACTTGATGGCCTTGTGCATCTAATTGCCACTCTTTTGCTAGCGGTCAGGAAATGTTTTAAATATGTCAGGTTATCTTTTTGGTAGAGTTGTAGTTACATTGTTTCCACTGCTCATGCCTTTAGTAGCTTATGTACTTGTAAAGTCTTGTTTATTTGGATGTGGAAGGTAGTAAATGTATGTACCTACAAGTAGCTTGAATTGAGCTAGTCATAGTAAGGCTAAACTCCCTCAAATGGCTCTGGAGGAATAAGTAGACTGACCAGTTCTTAAGTGCACACAAACTAAGCTAAGGTGAAAAAAATTGTCATATATTACTGGCTAATTCAAAAAATGCTTCTTAAGTTCTCAGCAAGCAAAGAAAAAATGCTAAACGATTACTAATTGATCGTATTATTTCTAGCAAAAATTTGAAATTACATGTATGGGTGACACTTGAGCAGTCTGAAGAATTGATCTAAGACGACTTGATTTTAAAATCTTATGATGTCTGAAAAAAATAAAAGTGCACCTACTCTCGGTTGTGAACTGAATGACTGCTCTTTTGGAAACTGAATAAAAACCTCAAACAGCTCAAAAATTATTTAGAAGGTCATGGGAGTGTTAAAAAGCTTAATGTATGTAAAATGCAGGATTATATGTAATGGTTTTCTGTCCTGTACTGAATTTTAAATACTGCAGTCCCATTTTGGGATGCCAGCTTCCCAGAAACAGACAGATCAGAAAACAAAAACACTAGTGCTTTCTTCTTATGATACAAATCTGTGCCTGCACACAATATTCTTAATTGTACCTATATGCATCATTCTTGTGTTTGAGCACTTGATATTCAGTAGGTGTTGTGCTGCATTACACACAATAATGAAGCAAGTGGTACGCTTGGGATGCAAAGGTCGGATGAAAACATGATTTAATTTTGGTAGTGTCTGCTAGTATCTTCTGGTTTTTGAATATCACTTATGTAGCTTTAATCACAACAAAAGCATTTGTTGTAAAGATGGAAATGTTGAGTTTTTTTCCACTGAGTTGTTCTGTGTGCTATGGAAATCGGTAAGCAATGCGGTAAAACAGATAATGGTTGGCCATCATGAACATGTCTCAATTATTTCATCATGTCTGAATGTGTGAAGCGGGACGATTCAGCTCAATATTGCTCCTACTGCAGAGGTTTAGTGGGCTTAACTTTTGCATTGAAGTTAGGTGTCTGAACCAATCCTTTGGTATCCTGCTGCATAATAGGCAGCAATAGCTTAAAAATGCCTTTATTTTCGTGTTATTAAAAACATGGCGCAAATACACGTGTTTAAACAGAGCTGTATATAGTTTTTAATGATTGAATAGGATGTAATAAAACACATGCTAACACGCAGTGGGTGGAGAAATGCATTGTGACTTTTGGTTAAAGCTGCATCTTTTCAATATGTGAAAAGAATAGTTTGGTTAATGGTTTGATATGCATGTAAACACCCTGCGTTAAAGGGGATATAACTGTGTTTTAATTGCTAAAGGCCCTAGGTTTCAGCTATTCCTTGGATGTTTCATGTTTACAGAAGTTCTTTTCATGTCCTGAAATGTCAGTTCTTGTTTTAGTTTTGGAGAAAAAATAGTTCAGTTTGAGTAAGACAAAAAGCAGACCCTGTGAATATTGTATGGGAAAATAAAAATTAATATATGAATGTGGTCTGACTGTTTTGTTTGCATGTGAGAATGGGGAGCACTTTGAATAGCTATTTGAGTAGTCAACTTGTATTTTAACACATTACAGTTAATCTGCCACCTGGCACTTGATCATTACTTCTGTTGCTGTGCATCAAGAAGTGTATGGGTTCACTGCTTCTCATAATTAGCTGTGCTTTCAAATCACTGGAAAAACTGAAGTTTCAGCAAGATTGTGGGGTTACTGGCTCTTTGCTCAGCATGTTAGCACTGCAGGCAGTAATATTCATAAATCTGTTCCTGTTGGAGTGGAATTTGAAGTATGCGACTACAGATGCCAGGAATGATTTGGGACCTACTGCATCTTTTCATGTTAATTCTGTAGATACAAGGCTGATCGAGGATGAGCTAGGCAGGTGCATCCAATTAGTGTTGTGTAATTATGAGATATAAACTTCAAAAATTCGGTAGTAACTAAATGTGTAATTGGAGATATTTTCTATTGTGTAGCTTCTTGCTGAATCTTAGCACGTAGCAGTGAAGTTTTAAAAGCCAGGGAGAGTAGGCATGATTGCTTTAGGTGGGCACCTTCCAAAACGGCTTTTTCTTCCCCTTTGTGTTTTCTCCTATGTCAGTTGCTGTACATTCAAAATCTTTCAAGAATATTTAGAGTACTTGGATTAAAAAAAGCTTTTGTCTAGAAGTATGAGTAACTTCTAATCTTTCAGTGATGTATAATTGTTACAGTCAAGTAGCCGTCTGGGTTTTTTTAGGTGTATGGCACCCAGGATTTCAAAGTAGCTTAAGGTGAGTTGTGGTCTGAAGCACTTTTCTGCTGAAAGCTGATCATTTTACCAAAAAAAAAAAATAATTAGCCAAAGTGAAAAGGTGAGTCAGCGGATCAACTGACTTGTATGATGATGAAGGCTTTTGTGAAGGAGCAGGTGGGGAATGTGATCGGGATCATTGCAACCCATTTAAAACAGTTTCTTGGACTGCCAGACTGTCCGAGGACACAAATTGCAGCAGGGGCACTGCAACCTAGATGTAGCATGATTTACGCAACGGCAACAATTATTGAAAGAAATTTTTAAAGCCTGACCCTGAAGTTCAGCACGGAGCTACATCAGTGTGCAGACAGCTGGTGTACTGCGCCAGGTTACTCCAGGAGAGGTTCTGTGCTTGGTATGTGAGCGAAGTTCGTCATGTGATATGAATCCAGCTTTCTTCTTTTTTGCTGCTTACAGTTATATTCTGTATCTCTAAATAAAAGCAAGCTGACTACCTGTCATCAAGAACGCAGATTTACATTGTCTGACATAACTCTGGAATCACTGCTATTGACTTCAGAAGCTTTGGTGTGGATTTACTTTCAGGTGCCATCAAAGTATGTGTCCTAATCATTCTTGATGTGCAAATGTTTCGTGCCTTTGCTTTCTGCCTAATTGGGCTCCTCATAGGAAACAACCATACTTGTAGAGAAATCCAGCAGTAGGAGGAGCACCATCTAATGTCAATGATTATTTAAAACTAAGTCCTAGCAGTCCTCATCACTGTTACTGAGTTATTTCCCTCAGCCACTGAGGTGGATTCTATGCATTTACAGCTGATGAGTGCTAATTCTGCTTGTCAGTAAGACTGTGGACGTGTTCTTTGAAGTGAAGGAATCTTCTGACATCACCTGATATCTTGTTGTTAAAAACAGATTAAACTCCTTTTTCTGCAGAGCTCAGTGGAGGAGTGGTCCTGCGGGGTGAGATGAAACTAGATTTAGCACAGGCCCTAAATGAGACAGATGCAAAGTCTTCCTCTTGCGTTCTTCCCCTTGACTTTCACGGTTGTCAAATCAAGTTTGAGAAAAGTGGGATTATGGTATGTGCATACTGAGGATGCTACTGATCTTGACCAAGTAAGTGTTGTGCGTGAGACATGAGGGGAAACAGCAGCTCATCTCAGCTTAGGAAATACTCCAGTTACCTGACAGTAGCAGCCTTCAAAAGATTAACTATTGGTATTAAAAAACTCATGTTGCAAACCTCAGGGCAGGATCTTGTGGAAGCATAAGGTGGTTTTACTTTGTGATACTTCTGAGCAGGTTGATCTGACCGACTCACATATTCTTCCCTACCTGCTGACAAGAACCAGGACATGCACAAATTGTCTGGTCAGCATCACTGGTGTGCAATACAGCAATTTTAAGCAATTCAACCGCCTTGTGCATCCATGTTTTATATTTCTTAGCATTACAGGCTGTTTTGTTGGGGGCTAACAGGAAAAGGAGTGACACAGAGGGTATGTTGTAGCCTTGTTGCCATCCTCCTGTTTTGAAGATGCAGTCACCGGTGCTGTGGTTTTATCAGTGTTGAAATTAATCTTGATAGGAACACCACGTTCCTCTATTTCACTGCTGTTAATTGTGTATTTGTCCATTAATAGAGGCTGTTGAACAGAAGTTCCTAAATATTTTCATAGCCCATATCTCACAG